AGCAGGTAAATGGGGGCTTATTCAATATCTGCTATCTCTTATCCTTCTAGAAAATTCCACAGCCAGCTCGAGTGAGGCAGAAAGGAAGGCCCAAGTATACTACCGCGCATGTATGAATGAAACCAGGATCGAGGAGCTCAGGGCCAAGCCCCTGATGGAGCTGATTGAGAAGGTGAGTCCCTGGGACACACTCTGGCCTCCCTCCTGCCGCGCCTCCTGCCTGCCCCTCTGGCTGCAGCTCTCAGGCCCACTGGTGCTCAGCCAGCCTACACCTCCAGCCTCCGCACCCAGCTGGAACACGCAGCCTGTCTGTCTGCCACTGGGTGTGCATGCACGTCTGTGCGTGGGGGGACTGTCTGTTGTAATGTGTGGGGTTGTGTGTCAGCATCTGTTGAGGACATCTAAGTGTCTCAGTGCATCTGAGTGGGCCTTGGGGACGATATTCACTGGGAATCTCTTCCTCTGGATTGCCACTTCCCTTTCCTCAGGAGGTGGGTTGAGTGTGCGAGAGGTGTGTGTTATTCCAGAGAAACCAACAGGGAGTCTTAGGCCAGCAACAGAGCCAGACCTGCTGGCTGGAGGCCTCGCCTTGCTCCTGAGCCCAGGAGAAATCTTCCCTCCGGCCAGGCTGCCTGGCACAGACAGAGATGGCTGCGGCTTTTCTGGCCACCCTTTGCTTGCTCAAGGGCTCGCCATCCTATCTCAGTTCGGGGAAGGTATTGCTGCAGGCATGGGGACTCTCCCAGTCCCTCCTCTCTGGCACAGGCCCCATGTGCCAGTGTGTGCCAATCCTGGAGGACCAAAGAGAATTTCTTTTAAGTCCCAACTTGGAGAGAGACCAAGGTAGACCCTAGCTTATCAGCCTTTTTCAAAATACAGAGCCTTATTTCCCGTAGTCACAATTGGATTTATGTCTTAATAGTAATCACGTTCGTGTGATTGATTGTCCAACAAATGAACAGCACAGGGGGCAAAGTCTCTGGGATTCACAGCTCATTTGTTAAGGATGAGTCTTTGCTCCCTCCGTGGGTCTCCAGGTCACAGGTCAGAAGCCCTTTCATTTGCTCTGGACGCTCCCAGAGGTCAGATGACTGCTCCAGGGTCACAGAGCAAGTCAGCTGCAGAACCAGAATTTGCACACAGGCTCCTTACCACCTTCCCCTCCCTATCTGCTCTGCCTTCTCCCAGCTTGGAGGCTGGAATATCACAAGTCCCTGGGCCAAGGACAACTTCCAGGACACCCTGCAGGTGGTCACTGCCCACTACCGAACCTCACCCTTCTTCTCCGTCTATGTCAGTGCAGACTCTAAGAACTCCAATAGCAATGTGATCCAGGTGAGCAGGCCTGGGCCAGGGAAGCAAAGGGTGTGGCCTCCTCGGGTGGAGGGAGACCTGCCCTGGGCCGTGGCAGCAGGCTCTGGTTTCTAAGCCGGGGTTATTTCTGGCAGCCCCAAGCAGTGAGATTTTTACAGGCAAGAGACTATGAGAGGGCAGACTAGCCATCTCGGTGGGTAGCTCATCATGGGCCACAGAAATGACAAGTGATATCAACTCCTGGGCACAGCTGTAGCCACCTCTTTGTCCCCTCCCTTAGCCTCTGGCTCTGTGGTGCTGCTTGGAATGCTTTTGGTCCATCTCTCCCACCAGAGCCTGCCCAAGGCTGAGGATCAGCACACCCAGGAGAGCCGATTAGGGGTCATAAAGGCTTAGTTCTCAGCCCAACTGCGCCACTCACTCACTGTGTGACCTTTACAAGCGTCACCCTCACTGAGCTACACTTTCCTTTTCATCCTAATGAACTATAATAGCAGCTACCCAGGTTGAGTCAAGGTGTGGCCAGAAGGTTCCAATGGTAGCCATCAGGAAGTGACCCTCCTCTGCCTGCCCCACTCTCAGGAAACCTTGTACTGACACTGTCCTCTTGAATCCTCATTCCAGCTCCGAAGGTTAGGTGTTATCCCTAACTTTCTGGGCGAGGAACCTGGGGATCAGAAAGGTTAAGTAACTTGGGTTAAGGTTAAGTCACCTGTGTTGGCTCCTCGCCACTTGGGAAGGGTTTAGAGAAGTAGAGTGCATTGCTGAGGCCAAGGGGTGTTTGAAGAGGAAGGAGGCTCTGTCCAGCCCTCAGAAGGGCCCAGGTCTCTGCAGCTGACCCCACAGGTGGACAGGAACGTGTCTGTCTTATCACTGAGTGATCCCATCTGTGACTTCGGCTACCGGCTTGTGCTCCTGCTCGGACCTGAGCTGGTCCTCAGTGCCTGGTGTGAGAAGTCCTGGGGCAGGCAGAGGCCGCAGGAGACACACAAGCCTGCAGCAGGGCCTTCCTCTCACTCTGCCTCCCTCTTTAGGTGGACCAGTCTGGCCTGGGCTTGCCCTCCAGAGATTACTACCTGAACAAGACTGAAAACGAGAAGGTGAGTGGGACTTTGCAGGGGTTCTCCCACCATGTCCCCCACAGCATACCTGGGCAGGTCTTAGAAGCTGGGGGAACACAGGGGTATCACTTTCCTGATGGGCAACAGGCAGCCCAGTCAGGGGAGGGATGCCCCCAGGCTCGCTAGTTCATATGCAGGCACTGTGGGCACAAAGGACAGGGGTTAGGTGTCATTTGTCCCCATTGTAGAGAGGTGCAGTAGCAGCCCCCACCATTTGAGGGTCTCAGACCTTTTATATACCTCACCTCTAACGCTCCCAGTCACCCCAAATTCACTCAGCCTCTCTGAACATCATTTGCTTTATCTGTCAAATGGATATTCGTTTTACCTTGCCCTATACAGAGGAAGAAATAAGTCTCAGAGACAGAAGTGACCTGTTCAAGGTCACACAGCCAGTAAGTGGGGAGATCCAGAGCCACAACCAGATCACCTCCAACCCCTCACAGCTCTCCCTTCCCCTGCCCGGCCCACCTGAGGTTCACTCGCCTGTCCACGGGGCTCGAGGTCCAGTAGGAGAGGGAGACATTACTTAACTGACCACCCAACTAGATGCCAACTGTATACATTGTGATCAGGGCAGAGGGAGCCGAGAAAGGACTTGATTCAGCTCTAGGGATGTGGTGGCAGAGGGTGGTTCAGAAAAGGTGCATTTCCAGAACAGGAAGATGGCTGAGGACGACCCGTGAAGGCAGGGCCAGAGCAGCAGGGGCCAGCCTCAGGGACCTGTGTGTGCCCAGAGGCGGTGGGCTTTACCAGGAGCGCCACGGACACCAGTGAATACACACAGCGCCAGAATCCTCTCCAGAGCTGTTTTCCAGCATGTTTCCTGGGCCCCGTGCATAGGGCTGCAGCTGGGCCGGCCTCACCTGGCCCACTGGGCGGCTGGTGGCAACCACTGACAGACAGTTTTGGGGTGCTGGGTCCCACAGGTGCTGCTGGGATACCTGAACTACATGGTCCAGCTGGGGAAGCTGTTGGGCCGGGGAGATGAGGACGCCATATGGCCCCAGATGCAGCAGATCCTGGACTTTCAGACAGCGCTGGCCAATATCACCATCCTCCAGGAGAAGCGTCTGGACAAGGAGCTCATTTACCACAAAGTGACGGCCGCCGAGCTGCAGGTACCCTGTGCGCCAGCTACTGCAGGGGCAGGGCCACTGGAGTACACAGAGTCGGACAGGGCTCTTCAGGGGAGGGGTCATAACCACTTCATCATGACCTTAAAGCCACCCTTGGAAGGAGGTGTTTATGCCCAGGTTACAGATAGACTGGGGCTCAGACAAGTAAGATTACCTGCTGGTGGCCACAGAGTGCAAAGGGACTCCAGAGCTAGGCTTCTTCCCTCGCCGGGCTGCTTCGTGTGACAGCATTTCCCTAGCAGCTCCCAGTCATCCAGCACCGAGCACTGAGTAAAGGTGGGGTGTGGATTCCGACGTTGCTTCTCCCTTTGCTGAACAGGAGATGAAGAGACATGGTCAGGGCCCGGAGGCTCCTGAGGGCAGGGGTGCTGGCCCTGGGACTCAGGCTTGGCTCAGCTTTTGACCATGTCCCTAGGCAATATCCAGAGGCGTAACTGGGAGTCAGACCTGTACTTTCTGTGAAACTGGTGTGACTCACCGGAGACCTGCTGTCCCCTCCGTAGGTCAGCCTTGCCGAGGCTGCCCCCTGGTGGCTGCTCAGGCCTCCAGGGCCTGGGGTGGACTTCCTACTGCTTCCTTCTTTCTGGCCCGTGTGCTGTTGTTGACCCGCTTGTCCTGGGCCCTGGAGGTCTCCGAGGAATGAGCAGAGTGGTCCCACAGATCTCCCTGTTCCTTGCCCTCAGGCAGGAGCGCCTGGTGGCCCTTGCTGCTCTGCTGGGGCGGACCCTGCGCCTGCGGTGGGTTCCACTGCCGGTTGGTCTTCTCCTGGCTTCTCTCCCATCCTTTCCCTCTTCCTTCGAAGAGGAAGTTCCTGCCCTTTTTTCCTCCTCCATCTGACAGATGTATCAGGGGCCACTTGGGCCCCGCTTTCCTGTGCTTCTGGTCTGGTGGGGACACTAAGAAACAATCCCAGTCTCCCTGCCTAGTGCTGTGGGCGAGAGAAGCAGGGCGCTGAGGCCCGGTGGGGAAGGGCTGGGGAAGCTGAGTGTACACCTGCCCCGCAGGGACGTTGGTGTGTGCAGGGCCTCGTGGGCTTCATTCTGGAAGTCGTGCTTCCATTGGTTTCCTGGGTGAAGTGTGTGTCCCTCTGGCCCCAGGCACAGGGCTACAGCCAGCCCTGCTCCACCCTGGCCTAATGGGCAACAGTTTGGGAGTGTTGAGTCCCTGGCTGACTAGATACCTGCACTACATGGTCCAGCTGGGAGGCTGCTGGGCCCGGGGGTTAGGGCACCACCTGGCCCCCGATGCAGCAGATCTTGGACTTTGAGACGCACTTTATCCTGAGGGCTGCGGGGGATGGGGTCTCTCAGGCACAGGTGCAGCCCATGCAAAGACCTGGGCTGAGGCAAGAAAGCCCAGCCTTCTGGTGGCACAGCTGCCCCTCGGGTTCCCAGGGAGGTTGGTGGCAGGGTGAGTGGTTTGCACGGGTTGTTATGGAGATCGGCAGCCTGTGTCGGGCACCATCTGGCACTGTTTTTCCGCTCTAAGGCCGGGAGGTGGAGGGAGATGCAGTTCGCCCCCCAGGTGCAGGGGGCCCGGCCTGAGCGCTCGCCTCACGGCTCTGACGTGGTACTCAGAGAATGGACATCAATCTGGCGTGGCCAGCAGGTTCTGCCCCGGGGCAGCATCTCCCCATTGCTTTCGCTCTCTTGTTTCATGGAAGAAAGGAAAGGTCATAACTTCAGCAGGGGCTGAAGACCACACAGTGCCTGCTGGGGGCCTGGAGTCAGAGGGTCACACCTTGAGCCGTGTGGCCTTGGCAGGTGAGGAGCCCACCCTGAGCCTTGGTTTCCTTCCAGGTAAAAAGCCCTTGCTCATCTGCTCACACCTGTTCTGTGCCGGAACAGAGACAAATGAGACACTGCCCCTGCCTTCACCAGGGACAGTGGCTCTTAACTCTTAAGTCATGGAGTCTTTTGAGAACAGCTCAAAAACTACGGACTGTCACCCAGGAAAAATGGACATGTGTGCATGAAAAAAAAACACAGGCTAACATTTAGAGAAGTCCTGGACGCCCCTGAAACCTGCCTGGCCTGCTCGCGGGTTATGAGGACATAACGTGACGCAGAAGATGAGATTTTGTTTTGTAAACTGGCATGCGCCATGGAAAAGTAGCATCCCAGAAATCAATATCAGTAGTGCTGTGCTTTTGTGATCAGTGATATTTCTCAGGTCCCTATCACTAAATTAACTTGAATCATTTCACCCTGGGACAGAGTGTCTTCTTCTCTGGTAGCTGGAGATTTGTTTTCTTCTCCTACTCAAGATGAATCGAGGAGAGGGACTCCAGGCTTACGTGTGGTTCAAGGCTAGACCTGCTGGAACAGAATGGTGTTCCAGGCTAGCCCCAAGTGGAGTTCGGATCCAGAGCCATGAGTCAGACCGCCTTCTGCTGCTCTAGGGGTGGAGGGGGGCCTTCTCATTCTTTTCTAGGACCTCCCGTCCCGCAGGCTGTTTGGGCCTCGGCCCCATCCTCTGCCATTTCTCCTATAAAAATGAAGCCCGAAAGCACCCTCATCTTTCCCACTCCTCAGGCCTGAGTTGGTTGGTGCGCAGCGGTCCTCCTAGGCTGTGGGCATGGGAAGCAGCTCTTGGGCCTGCCTCTAGGGGATTTGAGTCAGGGCAGAGTGTCCTAGTCCATTAAAACTGCTGCATTAGCCAGGCGCACCTGTAATCCCAGTGGCTCAGGAGGCTAAGGCAGGAGGATAGTGAGTTCAAAGCCAGCCTCAGCAAAAAGCAAGGTGCTAAGCAACTCAGTGAGACCCTGTCTCTAAAGAAAATAAAAAATAGGGCTGGGGGTGTGGCTCAGTGGTTGAGCACCCTGAGTTTAATTCCTCAGCACCAACCAACCAAACAAACAAACAAAACTTCCACATCCATGGAGATGGATCTCGGCACCTGCGTCTCAGGAGTTCACTAAAGCAAGACACTGAAATGTGGACGTCCTGCTGTCAGCACAAGCCTCTTTATCTCCGAGTTGTGAGAATTGCCCTGTCAGGACTCTGCTCTCCCGGAACGAGCAGGTTTGTGATGAGTAGTAGGGTTTTCCCCACCTGATGCCTCACCCTGAACCAGGGATCCGCCACCTCAGTTCATAAAGCCCTGTAACTGGTGACATTTGGTAAACTAACCCACTTTCCCAGGGTCTTTGCCGCCAGGCCATGCATTCAGGTGACCCTGATTGCGGGACCCAGTTTGAGGGTCTCATCAGACACCTCTGAATTCTGTGGCCACAGAAATGTAGAGATGGGCCTGAGGGTCTCCTGCCAGGGAGAGGGGAGGCTCCGGGCCACGGGGGAGGCCAGGCTGAGAGGCCTGTGGCAGTCAGCTCTGGGGGCAGGGTCACTGACCCCATCTTAGGGAAAGGATAGACAGTGCCCAGAGCTGGTTCCTGCTGGGGACTCTGCTCTAGGCCTCCTCACGCTCAGCTCAATGTCACCAGCTCATGTCACCCAGCTCATGTTGCAGGGCTGTGCTGGCGCCCGCCAGCTCGGGGCCCACTGTGCGCTTCTCTTCCCAGCCTCATGGGGGTTTGCCATCCGTGTTGGTGGGAACATTCACCCAGGGAGGACACCAGTCAGCCCCCTACTGAGAACTGGTCGATGACTTGTACCAGCACAATACCGCCTTTGGGAGCTGCGCCCGCCCTGCCCCCAGCCTCATCTGTGCTTTGAGATGTTTGTTCCCCAATGGATTAGATGTCCACTTAAACCCAGGAGCAGGGGCTGGGGTTGTGGCTCAGTGGTAGAGCGCTTGCCTTGCACATGTGAGGCACTGGGTTCAAGTCTCAGCAACACATATAAATAGAGGAAGGTATTATGTCCATCTACAACCAAAAAAAAATTAAAAAATAAAAAAAATAAACCCAGGAACAATGGCCTTGGGGTGGAGCCCAGTGGTAAAGCCTGTGCTTAGCCTGCTCAAGGCCCTGAGTTCAATCCCAAGCACCCTGCCAAATACACCGAGAGACGAGTGCCCTGAGTTTTATTTAACCCCCACAGTAAATCATATAACCTCAGGAAAGTCACCTTCCCTGATCAGCAAACTCAGCCTCTTGTGACTGACTGCCTGTCCCAGCAGGCGGGGATGGATCTTAGGTGGCTTTATGGGTACGGTTTTCCTGTATGAAGGGAATGCATTTCTCACTTCCCGTATTTGTCTTACATTTTGCCCTTTCAAGAAAATAGAGAATGGAGTTTGAAATCTGCCAGGCCCAGGGCCACTTTTGGAAGGTCTTAAGCGATGATCGTAATTTCTGGATTTGCTGGCTAAGTCAGGTGCCCATCCAAGTGATTGACATGTAGAGGTGTCTTTGCTAAAAGATATGCAGCCCAAAGCCTCATGTTCTTTAAAACTGCACACTAAAAATAACTGAACGTGTGGGGAATACAGGGCCAGAGCAGACACATTGCGCAGCTCTGCTTGAGGAAGTGACACCAAGGGACACACGCCAGCATTGAAGCCCGAATCTCTATGTGTTTGCACTTAAGCCGGGCCGCTCCGGCCAGCGTCGGACTCACAGAGACAGGTGGGGGTGGGAAGTGGAAAGCACATAGTTCAAGTCTTGCAAAAGTCATCTGCAGCTGGGTGAGCCACATCCCCAGCCCTTTTTATTTTTCATTTTGAGACAGGGTCCTGCTAGGTTGCTGAGGCTGGCCTTGATTTGAGATCCTCCTGCCTCAGCCTCCTGGTTTTCTGGGATTACAAATGTGCAGCATATTTTACCACAATTTATTTTTAAAATGTTGTAGGACTTCATAACAAAAATCTGCAACCTCAAGAGAGATAGCTCGCATGGCTGGAGGCTGCTGCTGCAGGAGATGCTGGCCATGATGTGGAGGTGTTGGGGGAGACACCTCTGAGCAGGGCACCTTGGGGTGCCAAAGGGAAAGTGAGATCTGTTGGGAGCTGATAGTTATGAAAAGCCAAGTGTCTCTTTGGAAAGCCCTGGGTACAGGTTTTCATTTTAGGTCCTTAAAACAGAGCTGCTGGGGCTGAGGTTGTGGTTCAGTGGGTGGAGCGCTCTCCTAACACGGGTGAGGCACTAGATTCAATCCTCAGCACCACATAAAGATAAATAAATAAAAATAAAGGTATCATGTCCACCTAAAAAAATACTTAAAATAAAACAACAGAGCTGCCGCTGGGCATGATGGTGCATGCCTACTATAATCCCAGAGGCTTGGGAGGCTGAGGCAGGAGGATCAAGAGTTCAAGGCCAGCCTCAGCAACTTAGTGAGGCCCCAAGTAACTTAGCTGCCTCAAAATAAAAAGGGCTGGGGGTGTGGCTCAGTGGTAAAGTGGCCCTGAGTTCAGATCCCAATAACTCCCCAAAACAAACAAGCACAAAGAGCCGAGGGCCTGGTGTGTGCAGGGCTGAGCTGCAGGCTTCTTCCTTCTTGCTGCAGCCATCACCGACTTTGCTGTCCCAGCTCCCCCCTCAGCAGCCTAACCTGTTGTTTACCCCACAACTCTGGCCCTCCTGAATGTTGGATCCTCTGCAGCAGACTGCTGCTGCTGACACCCTTGTTGAGTGGGACAGTGCTGGCTTCTGTGTGTGATCCTCACAGTTACCACATATACGGGACTCATTGTCATGATGATCCCTGTTTTTCACATGAGTTGCTGAGGCACAGATGGGCACATTAACTTATTAAAGGTTGCACAGCTCACAAGCAAGAAAGCTACACCAGGAAAGCTACCTAGCCCATCTCCTGATTCTTAGTTTTTAGGGGTCTGAAGCTCCATGTCTTCCTCTGTAAATGGGGATAATTGTGGCCACTGCTTGGTCAGTTGGGCAGTGGCACATGCTGCATGGGAATGGCATGGTGATGGTGGTGGCTGCTTTCCCTGCTGCTGCTGCAGCCTCTCATCCCACCCTGGTTCCGCTTCAAATGTGGTTTGCCTCTGGCTCCTGGGGATGCTGTCCACAGCAGCGCTCACCAGCCAGCCAGCCTCTGCCTGGAGCTCCATCTGCACCGTGGTCCCAGGACAGAGGCACAATGACACCTTCCGAGGGACATCCGAAGACGGGGCTGAGGAGAAGCCACCCTCCAGCCTCATGCTGTCCCCTTCCCTTGCAGACCTTGGCACCGGCCATCAACTGGCTGCCCTTCCTCAATGCCATCTTCCACCCCGTGGAGATCAACGCGTCGGAGCCCATCGTGGTCTATGACAAGGACTACCTGGAGCAGGTCTCCGCCCTCATCAACTCCATGGACAGATGGTGAGGCCGGCAGCCCTGCTGGGCAGGAGGGGCAGGAGGGGCAGGGCAGCCGGACGCAGTGCGCCGCACCCTGGTGGGCTTCCCCGAGAGGCAGCAGAGGTTGCTGGTCCCCTGGGCAGCTTCAAATCCTGCTGCCCTCACCCAGCTGTGTAGCTGTGGGCATGTCCCTTGTCCTTTGTCGGGGTCATACTGTCACCCATAAGATGGAGATGCAGATAGCACCTACCAAGCAGGGGACTCGTGAGAATCACACAAAATGATTCATGTTTTAACACGTTCCTGGCATGGAACGGGACGCTGCCAATACCACCCATAATTTTTTGGTTAATACGGGTTTTTTATTTTATTTTTTATTTCAAAGGCTTATAGAAATGTTGAAAAATACAGAAAATAGGAAAAATGTAAAATTATTCAAAATACTACTCTTGGTCATTTTGGGGGGTGTTTGTGTGTGTGTGCATATCAGGGAGAGAAGGTGTGAGGGAAGAGAGGTTTCCAATCCATAGTTCTTCTTTCTCCTTAATGTGACTAGATGGATAATCTTCTTTTCCCTTGACTTTTCATTTTTATTTTAGTAGTAGGAGTACTGAGGATTGAACCCAGGGGCACTTAACCACCGAGCCATATCCCCAAACTTTTTGTATTTTATTTAGAGACAGGGTCTCACTGAGTTGCTTAGGGCCTTGCTGTTGCTGAGGCTGGCTTTGAACTCACTGTCCTCCTGCCTTAGCCTCCCAAGCCACTGGGATTACAGACATGCACCACCGCTCCAAGCCTTGCCTTGACTTTCATTATGAATATTTCCCAGTGCCATCCCAAACCCCCTGTGAGGATCATTTTTATAGTTGCATAGTATTCCATCAACTGTACATGCAATATTTGCCATACCCTCCCCCGTAGTCAGACTTTTCAGGGTGATTCCGGTTGAGGCTAGATGTTGAATATAGTGAACATCTTTGTACTAAGGTAACATCTTTGCAAACTTGACTCAGCATGGTCAGTTGGTCAGCCACAGATAGGTTCCCTGTGCCCTGTGGGTGGAACATGGGAATTGTCTTCATGAAACCTGGCTGGCCAGAGCTTCCT